TGAATCATTGGTGACAGCGTTCTGCTCCAAATCGCCATGGAGGATTGAGCCACTCGACAATGAGGGGCACAGATCCTCACGTGTAAACACACTGGCAGGTCAAAGAGCTGCGTGGAGAGTGATGCATGCGGGGGCTTTGCCGGCATTAAATCACTCAAGCCTGATCGTTCATACCAGCGAGTTCGTCATTTCTACCTCCGAGTAACTGGGAGGAGAGAAACACAAGAGCTGGGGAGACGGGGCTCAGCGACGCACACACAAATGCGAAGCTGCCAGCGTTTTGCTTTGATCTGCCTAGGAGGATTAAGCTTCTCATGTAACGAGGAGCGCTGATCCTCAAGTGTAACACACACTGGCAGATTAAGCACGCATGATGTGTGTCAGCATGAAATTGCTCAAGCCTGATCACTCAACCCACGAGCTCACCGTTGCTTCCTCAGAGGTAACTAGGAGGCGAGAAACATGAGAGCAGGGAGGCGGGGCCGCCTTCCACGAATGAACAGGGGCAGACTGCTTTCGTGGTAAAAGCAGCCCGTGTCTGTGAGCGCAGTCATAGTGACACTAGGGTTGGGCCGATAGACGATGCCATCGTCCATCGCCAATGGCTGACAGATATCACGATGTTAAGCTGACATCGTGATTCCGTCCCCCCCACCCCCTCAATCCGCCGCATCGCAGTTCCATGTTCGGAAAGTAAATGAAGTGTACTACGGAAACCCTAAAGGGAATAAATAGCCTACGAGATGAGATGATAAAAAAATATTTAAATACTTTTTCTCACAATTATATCGTTGGGTAAGTATAGGCGACTGTATATAAATTGCGGTTATCAGGGAGCCGCTATTGAAACCGCTTTCGATTGCGCGCTCTCATTTTACTTTCACTTTTGAGATTCGCAATCACAAGGACTGTATACTATGCTGCCATGCAAAGGCAAAAGACCGTAAATTCGAAATTCTGCCGTGCAAAGGCAAAAGACCGTAACTTCGATTTTTGTCGAAAATTAGTTATTGATATTTTTGGGACATTCAAGACATCATTTATCATGTGTATAAGTATCTTGAGTCAATTTTGTTGTTTTTCAGAGAAAATAATGGGTTGTCTCAACCATAACTTCGAAAAGCCCCAGAGAAACCAAGGCAGAGCACCGTATGCCAGTTACGGCTCTTTCACTTTGTTTGGAACGCTTTTTCATACAAGTCAACATATAAGCAATATGCTATGTCTAGCTTTTTTTTTTTTACGTTAATGAGCATAGCAAATAAATTTGTATCCACGGTATCCACTCACGTTTAACTTTTAGTCTGCTTGTTACGGTCAAAAAAAAAAAAGCATTCTGAGCATTATTCCTGCTTGCTCGCGTTCACATCAATCCACAGGTCGTTCTTTGAGGTTAGGCTATTTCATACAAGTCAACATATAAGCAACATAGTATATTGTACTTATTATATTTAGTTGTTGAAAATAGTGATTCTGAGTTACCAGAACTTGCGTGTAAGTTTACAACACTAAATAAACCTTTGTTATTACAAATTATTATTCTTATTTCACTTTACTTGGTTTTTTCAAGGCAATCGGTTTGCATGCTTTTTTTAAGTAAGCCCAACTAATTAGATTTTACAGTGTATAATGAGGTGCACCGATCCTCATTTGTAACACATACCTGCAGATTAAACACGCATGATGTGTGTAGAGGATTGCTCAAGTCAAATCGTTCAGCCCGCAAGCTCGTCGTTGTTTCCTCCGAGGTAGCTGGGAGGAGAGAAACATGAGCGCGGGGAGGCGGGGCCGCCTTCCGCGAACGAACGGGGGCAGACTGCTTTTGTGGTAAAAGCGGCCTGTCTGTGAGCGCAGCCCTAATGACACACACAAATTCGAAGCTGCCAGTGGCAGCATCTGCTCCGATCTACTTAGGAGGATAGAGCCGCTCGATGTAAAGAGGGATGCTGATCCTTACGTGCGAGACACGGATCGAAGCTCAACGGGGAGAGAGAGCATGCAGGCACAGTGCCGGCATGAGATCCGTCAAACCCGGTTGCTTATTCCCTGACTCCGCTGTTTCCCTCTCCGAGGCTCGCTGAGAGAGGAGATACGGGAGAGCGGGGCTGCCTTCAGTGAAGGCGGTCCTCGAGTGGCGAAGAGCGAGACTCATGCTTCCAACGAGAGCATTCCGTCTCAGTGAACGAGCAGTCTCTGCGTGGGGGCTGCCCAGACAGGTGACGCACTCACTGCCCTTCTGCATCGTGCAAGATTCCT